ATATATAGCTTAGGTAAAAATGACTAAGAAAATTACATATGTTTATGTTTTTCGAAACGAAACATATGTATGGAAGTTTGTTTATATGTCCTGTACGTACCCAAAAATAATCCTATTATACACAATAAAACATTTCTTTTAGCCCTCATATTTTTTACTAATTTAAATATATGAGAATGTAATTATTTTATATTTAAGATTAACTGTGCGTTGTTTTCGTTTGACAGTTAACAGGACCCTTAGCAGCAGAGATGCTGGCCTGGGATCATCTCAAGCTGCTTTTCGACGAAATTAAGGAAGCAAAAAAACGTACGTAGCAATCAGTAAATAGTGTTTACTGCCCACAATAAGCGGGATCAGAAATCAGTCGTATGTCAACGGGTCAAAGAAAGAGGAAATGTTGGACAATTTCCCTTTTTCGAAAATTGATTTTTTGTTAATTGAGTATTAATAGTAAGTGATTTTTCATGCACATCATTAATTAATTGAAAGAGCATGTCAATAGAACATATGAGTGTTTTTAGACCAGTTTTTCGACGTTAGCCTAAACGAGTTTATAAATACGTCCCCAATAAAACCCATAACTTCACCTTATTATTATTAAGCTTCAAACGTATAGCGCACCGAATGGCCGTTGGGTTATACCGGCTGGGTGCGGTATTCCAAGACTTTCTGAGATAGCGATTTACTTGTAATACATCCTGCTTGTGATGAACTCCTGCAAAACGTACCATGTTTTCTAAAACAAAAAGGGTCTATCATGCCACCAACGTGTTATCTTTCTATAGTCTTTCCAGACCCATAACGGCCATCTTCTAACAATTCTTAAAGAATATGTAATATTATCTCAATACTATTCATCAAGTTACGTAACGTACTTATTAATACATATGTAACATTTCTTTACAAGTAAAATACGTTAGAATCTCACTGTTATTACCCCTATTGCAGTAACTCCTCAACATATGCAAGAGTTCTCAACTTTATCGACCGAGTTTCCCTACGCTGTACTTCTGCTCGCTGAGGGCTCGATATCTAAACCCAGTAAAACGGGTTTACCTTACGTTATTCTTGAGGCAGGCAACATTATTGAGGTAAAACTGGGTTTACAGCAACGCCTATAGATGTCAGCTGCTATAAAGCTAATTCATTTTGTTTTTGAGGCAGGCCTAACTAACAATAAAAATATACCATTTTTTTAATTCGCATATGCAGGCATTAAACCATTAATTAGGCAATTATAATTTACTATATATCTATTCAACTCTAGAAGCAGTGTTGTATTAAAAACAGCTTTATTTCATATCACTAGTCATAGGAAATAACAGTAATAATAGTTGTGTATTAATAGGTATCGCGATCCAACTGAAATGTACCTGGGTCTAAACAATGCCTATAATTCTTCCAATGTATTTAATCTTTAAGAAAAAAAATCTTGCAAAATTAACCTTTGCGCGCACATTCCATAACAATATTTTCAGGTCTTGCCGACAAATTTACACTGCAGCTGTAGGATTTTCGCCGAGTCATTGTCCGAGGAAAATAATCGTTTGGCGTGCAGGCACCACTTTGCTGTTAGACTCTATCGAGCGCTCAGTAGTGCCAATGAGGATAAAGAATAGCAACTGCAAACTTTGTTTGAAAAGTTCACGCTGATTTTATCAGTGGATGACCGTAAAATATGTTACTGTAATTATATATATTTTCAGAATAGCTCTGTTGGTACTGAAATCGAGAGTGTTAGTGCATATGTAAGTGCACAGTATAAATAAACAGAACGAAAGAAAAAATGCATTCTATATCTTGCAGTCTCTTTTTATGCCTTACTCTTCTGCCTGTATAAATTATTTTTTAGTCAAAATTTTCGACACCGGAAATACTAGAAAATTTATGGGTTTTAGTTTGCTTGATACTTACAGATCAGATTTAATTAATGACTTGTCACTTAGCCATCGCATGTGTTGAGTTTCACTTTAGAGAAGTTGGTTTTCGCATAAACTCTCTTTGACACCCTTGCTATGTATCTATACACCACATATGCAGATAAAAAGAAAATTAGTATAATGTTCCTAATTTTTTCTGGCCTCCATACCAGAGCCTACCATATAATATATGCTTAAATCGTACTATTGCGCAATAAATTTACGATCAAGGGCAGAAAAATATAATATTCTTCTTTAATAGAATAAGCATGCATATATTTTACTGAAGACCGTATTTAACATCAAACTCTGACAGTGAAACCTTAAACAAGACATCATGCATAATGTATAGCATCATATCGTTAGTAGGTTAGCACGGTCACACACACACACAGAGTGCAGGCGATTTTTAATTATTGTTAGATAATTCTTTATTTAAAAAAAAAAACAAATTCTGATACGAACGAAAGATTCAGATATTTGCTCACTTGTGTCAACTGTAGTTAAATTTTTGGAGGGTCTTACTTTTTCTTTTGGAATGAACACGCTTTTACTAACTGTTTGTTTTGACTCTCTTCGATATTTTTTCTTAAATTTCCCAAGGTTAGATATTTTGCCGGAAAACGATGTTCCTACGTGACTCAATACTACCTGTATGGGTAGTGTTCGCTGTTATTGCACTGAGGAAGAGTACAAGCGCTGCCCAAAAGCAAGCTCTACTGCCGGACAAAATTTCAACTTTGTTAGACACGTTTTTAAAGGTCAGTTATTCTTTCATGTTTCTGCAAGCTTCAATACTCTTAGTCAGCTTAACGTAGAACCTCAACATAAGAGCTTACGTTAGGTTGCCATATGAGCTTTATCTGTAAAAATTGACTAACTTTAGAATTTAAATAATACATTAGTTATAGAGAAGATTTTTAATGTGAGTATATAAGTTGAATTATCTTTCACAGGAGTATCACGAATGTATGGGCATTACGTACGTCAAACACCCACAGTCAGTTGTAAAAGACGGCAACACATCAAATTAGGTTATATGTAAAACCAAGTAATATTTCAGGAAAGTTGACTTCATGATCAATTTAAATGTAAATTAATGGTAGAAGTTACGTTCGCACGAAACGACGCAGTTTTGAAGCTGTCTTCTTACAACTTGTTTTACGAACGCAGGAACAACTGCCAGAAAATGTCTCAACATAGTTTTGCGCGCCCCATATCCGTCTGTTTTTTGTCTGCAGGTACCTCCTGCTCTATTGTCGCAATTAAGTGAAGTTCTTGCGGAAGATCTTAAGTACAAACATTCGCATCAGCCTACAATACCAGATGATTTGGCCGAAGACCTGGAAGGACATATACGATTATCAACGACAGCCTCTAAGCCAACATCGCAAGACATTGTGAAGTATCTTGATCAGGAACCGGCCCATTATAACATACTCGAACTGCCGGGACTTGTTTTGCTGAAGTTTTTAGCTGGTAAAAAGAGTACAAGTTTGCGGCATCGCAAAAGTCAGATACTAGACGAGTATAGTGGGCTATTTGGGGACCATGAAATACAAGAGGTAATCGCGAATTTTCGCGGAGACTAAAGCTTTTTATTTTTGTTAGGTGTGCTGCGTGAGGCATTGTTAATTGTTTGATGATTTTAAATAATAATAACGAGTTATAATCAGTATAGTGAAACAGTCGCTCTGCCTTAATGCAGGGGAATCATCATACCCATAGCCCATAAAATATCAGTTTATTCACTTTACCTACAGATTTACCTGTATATCAATGTAATTCAACAAAATAATTAATGATCCTTAATTAAAGGTCAGTTGCGTAGTTGAGTATTTCTATATTGCCTGTATATTCGATAATACCCGACTCTTTTTGATACTCACATAAATCAACTATACAGTGGATTCAAAGGCTTCTATTTTTACCCTCACAGTACTGATTTCACTAGGCAAGTTATTCACATACATTCAATTATAGGACAAGGATGAAGGTGTAATCACTGTCGATCGCGAAGCCATTGTTCGAGCTCTCTTCGCCCTCATCGGAGTGTCCTTATTCACGTCGTTGCTGCTCGTCATCTTGATCTCATGCACAGGCGCGACGACAGTAAGTAGTAACGACACTTCGAAAACAACGTTTATCGTTTAAGAACTGCTCATGACAGTTCCTTGGAAGTGTTTTTTTATCTTCTATTGCTAACAAAAGATTATATGCTGTGTAGAATCCCCATACACCTTTGTGATGGGTGAACATTAGAAGCGCATAAAAAATAAGGTACTAAAACGACGGGAAATTTTGGCAGGTTTTTGCACAGTTACGTGCTTTTCAAAAAAAAGTCCGGATTGAAAGAAGATATGATCAAGTCCTATTATAATATCGGAGATATAACTTAGTGTAAAAAACTTGGCAACAGATAACTTGAAAAAGAAATGTAATGTGAGCTATAAATAAAAAGGTACGTTACTAGAAGTGAACCAATAATTTTGCCAATCTGGTAAGGAGTGTTGAAGAAATTTGGCTATCGAAATGTTTGAATTTTCGCAATGTTTTTTCATCGTAGTAGCGATACGTACAGATAGCGATTCATCCTATCAAAATGTACAATACTCAGCCCTTGACTGGCTTTTGTTTCAGAAATGCCGCCATCCAAAGAAAGGAAACTCTCGTTTCTAAATAAATCACGATTAAGGATTCTAATATTGTCAACGCTTTTTTGTATTGTTAGTAACTTACCATTTTAAACTGCTACACAGAATTAATTGATCGAAATTGCTCTCAAAGACAAATTTCTGGAACTAAGTGTTTTGCATTTGGATAAATATGTCGACTGCTCACGTGACCATAAATTACTTTAATATCATCAGAGAATACGAGTAACTACACCAAATTTATGTGGTTTTATATTCTCGCTATTACGCGTGTTGAATCACACCACTTGGCAAGGGATATGATTAGTTGTAGTTGACTGTACTTATACTCAGATGTTTATAAATTAATCCTAAATAAAATTTAACTGAGTAGTAATGAAGGACACGAAGGTCGTATTGGTACCACCCATCAACCGGCTAGAATTATTTCGATATTACTAGGATACGTGATAAATTAGAACCGTTAAATTCAAGCAGCAATTTTATGCTAGGCTTCTTGCCTATCTGCCTGTGCAGGTAAGGAAAGCATGAGTCTGTAATTTACGACTTGCCAACGACTATGCTTATGCTAAATAGAGGAAATTGTGAATCCATTTAAACTGTTCACTGGTACAATTGAAACGACACCAGTTTCACTTTTATTTACAGTCATCACCAGCTACTTCAACAGTGTATGGTTGCAAGCTATATATAGTTTGTTATAACTAAGTACAATGCATCGAGTTCTACTTCCTATAAAGAGTAAGTGTATATTAAATGCGAATGCTCTAACATTAATTCGTACCTTTAAATATAGCAAATCTCCCTCATCATCGCAATAGTACTATGTCAAGTTTTGTTATTTTTACTATTATTCAAATTAGTATGAACTTAAATTCTTCACTGTAAGATTAGTGTTTACATATATGTTGCGACAAAACCAGTTTTCGCACACGATTTTTGTTCATCTTCATTTGCCCCGTCTGCATAAAGGTTCATTGCCATATGTTTTTGCATTCATCAACGATTATTAACTATTTATCGAATTCTGCGTCTGGTAATGGTTCGATTAGCTGAACAGTGCCTATACCGATTTCTAAATGTACTCGTACGTAAGCAAACGCGTTGTCATGTGCCTGGACGATTCCCGATCGAGCTTCAACCCTTCACCAGTAGTCACTTCGCAGAGGTTTCCTACAACTATTAGCACATTAGAAAAATCAGTTCTACTTAACAACCTGCAAAGTTACATAAACGTAAAATAAAATAGAAGGAATACGCATCACAGTTATATCAGCCTCAGTGTCGACCCCTTCGACTGCGCACCGTTTATTTCTAAGGAAACATTTTTACATGCACACATCCTTGGGGATCTTTCACGGACAAGAACGAAGCGGCACAAAGGCTTCTCTCATTTGTTAGCTTAATCTTCCTCGTCCTCATCACCTCCACCACCAGCGGCCTGGGCCTTTTTCTTATTGTTCTTCCTCTTGACGCGGCCCTCGTGAGAAGAGCCGAAAGGTGATCGCAAACTGAAGTCAATGTGTTTTTCGGAGTCGAGACGGACAACAAACGATGGGATATTAACGACCTGTTTGCGCACACGAATATGTCGCTGGCGTATGAGGACTCGAGCATGATGGATGGATTTAGCCAGGCCGTGCTTGAAGACCTGAAGAGTGTGGGTGGATTAGATGTTAGGTGAAGTGCTAATAACTGTTATAATATTTATATATTAATA